GAATGCTAGGCGGGATGAAGAGGGGTCGGCAGACGACAGTGAGTTATAACAATGCCACAAATGCTGGGCAGCAGCAAGCAAGTGTCCAACATAAACGCCACAACAAAGCAACGTTAATTGACGCGCCACAAAACACACACGCACACCAACACACACACACACACATCCACATATAGACGAAGCATCAAATATACTTTGCGGCTATGAAAGCAAGCGCTGCAGCAAAAAACTTTTGACTTCGAAAAAATATATCGCCAATATGCATATGAATACTTAGTATGTATCTGTGTGCTTGTTTGTCTATGTGTAGGACATTTTGCACCGACAGCCAACGAGAGTGATAGCGTTCGAGTGCCGATCCGTTTGCTATCGCTGGAGCTTTTCATTTTGGGGCAAAGGACCCCAGAGAGTGACATGAAGTGTCTGATAGAGGTTTGTAGCCGAACATAAAATACAATATTTGTTACGAAGGGAAGCTGGCTGGTCGACTTTTTACAGTTAGTAGAAAACACCTACACATGCATAGTAAAAGAAGAAAAAGAAAAAATTATAAGGTCTGCGCTCGATTTGCGCTCAAAAAGCATATTAAAGTTTAAATTTCAAGCTCTTTTCCACTCACATACACACACACACTCACATTTCGTTTAAATGCCTTTTTACACCTTTATTATGTATTAACCCTATGAAAGTTGCAAGCAACAAACCGCCTACAAATTATACGCTTTTGTTGTGACTGGTGGGTCGTCGTTCTGGCGGCATTCCGTTCGGACATTTGACGCACTGAATCAGGAGCGTGATTAATGGCCTTTAATTATGTCAAATGGGCGCACAAAAAACAGTCGACAATATGTGCAAGAGCAACAATAACAAAAGAAAAACATCAACTACTGCAGTTTAGCGGAGAAATGAGTATATGCGAACTGAAAGGTGCGCTTCGATCGAGTGGAGAAAAAGAGTTTTACAAACAAAGGAATTTTAGGTTGAGTCCCATAAGCCTAATTACATAGAAGTTTCTAAAAAATAAATCAACAAACTTTGGTTGAAATTCGTAAAAGAGAGTTATTAGTGAAAACGTTTAAAAAAAAATTTTACATACTTTTCTGTCAAAGTTGCCACCTCAAAGTTTTTTTTTTTAATTCAATTTATAAAAATTTGGTAGAATTTTATAAATGAGAATTATTATTAAAAATGTTTAAATAAACAAATGTATATGCATATCTGACAGGGTTGCCACCTAGAATTTTTTTAAAAAATTTATAGAAATCTGGTAGAATTTCATAAAGGATTATTATTAGTGAAATCTTATACATAAATAAATTTAAATACTTTTTAAATACAAATTTTTCTAAGAGCTATGCAAAATTGAAAATTTCACTGTTTTTCCGATTTTATGAGTTTGTTTATTTAATATTTCAGAAACTACTGTACATTAAATAAAGAACGCCGGTGCGTTTTGAGAGGACACTTACTGTTATGAGAAAAGATTAAAAAAAAAATTTTGAAAATTACCAAAATTAAAAAATTTTTAATTTTTCATAATCGTATAAAGTAACCATCGCGGCAAAATTTTGGCCTTAAAATTGTTTATATTATATAATATCTAAACAAATTCTGAAATTTTCAAAAGGGTGTTATATTTCGTTTCAAAGATTTGAATTTTTGAATTTTTACAAATTTTTTTTTTCTATTTTTTAAAGTTTTTTTTGTTGAATATCATTATTCTATCACATGATTATCGAAATTAGAGGTCTAAAATATTACTCTTAGGTTATTGGTTTGTAAAAACAAATATATTTCAAAACATATTACAATATATAATATTTTATTGGAAAAAAAAAATTTTGAAAATTACCAGTGAACCATAAAATATTTTTAGATCTATGTAAAAGAAATTTAAATTTTACAATTTTTTTCAAACTATAGCAAAAAAACATTTTGAAACAAAACTATATCAAAATAGGGTTGTATCAAATTAAAATATTGTATAAAGTTAAGAATTTAATTATTAAGTTTGGAATTTAAAATACTGTGGATCTAGCTAACATATTTTTTTTAACGGTGATATATTTAATAGTGCGATTTCGAGATCTATTGTTGAATCAAAGAATGGACTGAGCGAGCGTTAAGTCCTTCTTTATAAATTCTAACTGTTTACCAATCGACCAATAGTAAATGTTATGACCACTATGGAACTAAAGCTGTTTGCTTGCTTGGTGAAAATGGGTATCGTTTGCCTAGTAAGCACTCTTGCACTCATAAAGTTTATACCCTATTCTTTAACCCTTCAATAGCGTGCAGCAATTGGCAATAAAAAATTGACACGGTTAGGGTGAAAATGTCAACGTGACAGTTGGTCAAACGTAACAGCAGGTGGAAAAATGTAAGTTCGCGAATATTGAGATACCCTGTAAGAAAAACTTAACATATGACGAAAAATTTGAAAGACATTATACAAAATACAGCTGAATATTTAGAGAATACCAGGTACCAAACCTTCTTTGTGGATTGATTATACTGATCAAAACAAATTTATACTTATAAAGTCCTGGTGATAAGTCCTAGGCATACTTCGACGTAACATTTTCTCAACAGCGACATCACTCATTTGCTAACACTAGAAAATGTAGCAAATAAATGTGTAAAGAGGTCGACAACAACATTCGAAAAACGTTTTGTAACACGACACAGTGCAATTCAAACGAATGATCCTCACACTACTCGGCAAATACCGTTACGCTTGTCGTGTCGTTTTGTGAACGCGATTTTTTTTTTCGTTTCACAGTGCGCGATGTGATTGAGTGGGCGGGTAAGCATTTTGTAGTAACACGTGTCAGCCAACACCCACTCACCCGCTATGATAAGGCCACTTTGACAAAGAGTTGGGTGCTTACACATTTTTTTCGCTTTCGAATTCCCCCCTTTTCTGGTATTTGTCGCCAGCCGCCGCCGCTTGTCGTCAACGTAATGAAAGTGTCATAAATTATGCCACATTTGACGAAAGCGACATGCAATGTCCAACCATACAAAGGACACGCATGTATGTAGATATATCCGCAGTGGGTGTGGGTATGCCCGCGGCAAATATTCATGGTATTAAGTGACCAGTCCAGTTTTTGCGAATGCCAGCGGTTAAATGGGTATGAGAGTGCAAAGGTTTCGAACACGCTTTGTTGCCGCACTCACAGCGGGTTTTAGCTCCTTTTTTTTATTTTGTTCAAACAAATTACCGTTGATTGTGTCGATTTGGCACATAAACGATCACTTTAGGCGTTGATATGTTTACATGCAGATATTTGCCAATTTACTTTTAAATTATGTCATTAATTGAAATTGTGCATAAATTACATACCGTTATGATAATTGCTTTAGCAAACAACCGTAATTAAGAAACGGTAAATACGGGAAAAAAACTGACTTTAAAGCGAGGAAATGCTGAGAACACATAATATTGACAGCTAAGTTAGATAGAATTTTAATATTTATAATGGAGGGTCTCCCAGGGTGCGCGTTAATTGATTTGTAGCTTAGTTATTTCAAAACACGCAAGTGTTCTTCCGCTATTGGATGGTGATTTCAGAGAGGGATTAGTTGTTTTTCTGAAGCAACTGTTCCAAAAACTTCACAATATCAAATTTATTCCATCAGGATGAGTGTAGGATCCGGGCTTAGCGGTTTTAGATATGCCGCAGATCAGAAGAATTTTTAAATTCTGTTTGAAGATATTATATTAGCCAGCATCTGCTAGATGGATCGATATGATAGCAGATAACTGTCAATAAGAGGTCATCAGTTCAGATCCGGCGTTCGGCCAGCCATTTTTCGACTTCCCATAAAATGTTCAACCGAAAGCGAACTTAAAGTCAGAATGTCAGAATGTCTTACAATTTGACTGGTTTGGCTTTGAGTACCTATAGAAAAAGTTCACTAAACTTGACAGCTGATTCGGGTAATATAAATTGTTTATAGCAATCACCTGAGCTTTTGGATACAAAAATTAGAGACAAGACATAATAAAGCTTGCAAACCTTTTTTTCTCAGAGTCAGAGATTTGATCTTTAAAAGGCCGAGTTGGATCGCACACATTTGAGCATCTGCTAACTGCTAATAACAAAAACTATTATTATTTACTTATTAGCATTATCGCATGCGAATTCAAATAAATGTTTTCAGTCACATACGCACTCCATTAAGGATTCCAGCACGTCCGCTGAAGAATTCTTAACAAATGTGAAAACCTACATAGCAGTCATATAATTATATATTAGACTAGAGTTGAGTTACTTCAAAATGCAGTGAGTTTCTTATTCCTATTATCATTATTAGCTTTGCACAATTGTCATAATTAATCGCGAATGGCAGACAGCGTGACACCACACACCAGAAAAAAAAGAAAGAGAAAACCAGAAACTATTTTTTATAAAGTTGTAAGAAAAGCAAATAGTGAAATGAATGCGGAACGCGGAAAGCCGCATCAAGCCGCCATTGCGCGCATTGCGCACAATTTCACAGATGATGAACAATGTCGTCACGTGACAAGCGAACTACGTCGAATACGACATAGCCCGGGTACTATGGCGTAGCGCAACAAAACATGAAGACAGCTGCTTTGCATACTAAAGCGCGGTAATGACGTTGACAAGCGCGCGCCGAGGCGGCGATGCGGTTGACGCGCGGCCCAACAAATCCCCAAAACCGTCAACGCCCGAGAATCGACGACAGGCAGGCGTGCAACCAGCCAGCCCACATGGATGAGCCTACTTACATACGTCGGTGGACTTGCAAATAATTGACATTGCGCTGAGATCCGTCAACTATTTAATGACTTCACAAGCGAATGTGCCCAAGATTATTTGAGCTTCAAGTGCTATTGACTTCTAAGGCACAGCCTTAAAATTTATGGTAACTCGTCGGGTTTAACTTTATGGAAAATTATTTTATTGATTGTTATTATATATTTAAAATGTGCGATTGGTAATTTTAAAAATCTTCCATTCCCACGCTTTCGTGATCTTTCAGGTACGCTCCTCCTATTAACTACTATCCCAGACTGAACATTTTTAGATTGTTAAATCCCTTCGATTTATCTATTTTCCCATACAGCTTCTCATCGAAGAGCGCTTGCCCATTTGACTTCAATATCTTCAGCTCTGCAAAGAAGCTCGTCTCGGGCACATAACTGGGCAGCCTCATCGATGGAGTATTCACTCAACGTATTTAGACCCTTCCTGATCGGACATTTCTTGATTAAGCTACCCTGTTTCAGTATATCCTCCTATATGATACGCAGTACGGGATCCATTGAATGTTGTTTAAGGAATTTACAAAAATTTACTGAACGATTGGTTAGTGTTGTATAGTTCCCCTAAATCTAAAGCAATGGTGTATTTAAGATACACATTATCGAGATCTTCACTGACTTGTAAGACAACTGACAGGTATGTATCGCTGGTGGTGTTCTGGATCTGCACTTTGGCGTCTATCACGTCGGAGTTGTATGAGTAGAGAAAAGAGGTGAAGATGACCTTAAAAGAGCGCTGAAAGAAAAATGTGATTGTTGTATATAGAAGGATAATGCGGAAGTTACACTCAATAAAAAAGGGAATGATTTCTAAAATAAGGGTCTGCGTAGATTAGTCTTCTGTGTAAGTTCTAGATAGTATTATAAGACACTACCTAGAAAATTCTGCTTTCAGTTTAGAATGTAAAACATCTTTTTACAAAAATGGAAGAAGCAAAATTTGCGGACAATTTGGGAAGAGGTGTTCTCTAATGGTTTTGAAAATATGTTTAAGACCTCGCTACAAGCAATTAAAAATCGTCATTGCAGCATCGATAGCCTAGGGATGCAATATCTATTTGATGTAACTCGTATTCACAGCTTGGTTTGTCAGTAAAATTATTAAATCTCATTATATTATAAAACCTGAAAAAGAAGAGTAAAACTAGACCTGACTCCTTCTTTTGAGTTCCAGATCCGTGGCCGTCAAGCTTTGTTTATAAACCCAGGCGATCGTCGGTTAAGGAAATACGCGGTTGTAAGACTTCGATGGCTCCATTAAGTAATCGTATTGATTCAAGAGTTATCTGTAATTGCTATTAATCCCTTCTGATTTTTCGAGGTTATCTTTTGCTTTTCAAAGGCTGGCATTCATCTTCTCAAGATTTAAATGACATGGACAATATTCTAGGAAAACTTCATGAGTCTACCAGAGCTGGTTTAAACGAGTCGAACCGATTTTGTTTTTTGTGGAAACTATTCATCTTGTATAATAACCCTGTACTGCGGCTACTTACTCCGTTATTATGACATTTTGTTCGCCTCATTAAATCAGTCAAACTTTGGGGATAAACTCAACGCGATTTTTATTATTAATCAGTTTTCAGCAAACGATTTTAATTAGAAACTTTATGACCATTAAAATGTTTTACCATAATTAAATTGAGGCGGCGAGTAAATTAACAAATGAACCAGAAAAAATAACAGTAATAGTGCCACAAAACTAACAACAACACCCAACTTACCCATCCCCAGGCGATTGGTGCGCACAGAATTACAACAATAACAAGTATTGTAAAAAGTTTAGTGGAAAAGGCGCGTTCGCTGCCAGCTTCATAGCTTTGCAAAATTTAACTGATGCAAATTTGACGAAAAACTAAAATTTTCTAGTGGCCACAAGGCAAACAAGAACATAGAAATTCAAAGCAAAAATAAAAGAATAAAAAATAAATAATAATAAAAATATAAGAACAATGGAGCGGAAAATGCCGGAAATGGCAGAATTTCGACGAAAAAAAACGCATACAATTTGTTTATAATTTGTTTTAAATTATTATTTGTTTGACAATTTTAATTGTTATGTAGAATAAAAAATATATACATATGCACACATGTACACATTTTATTATCAAATTTCAAATAAACATGATGCATGCCACACGGCGCTCGGAAAATGGCGAAAAAAACACATCAACGCAATTTTCAAGCTTCACTGGAGCAGCAAATCTAAAAAACAATCAAAAATCATTCAAAACGCCATTTGATTGGAAAATAAACGCGTTGCGCTGCACCGGTGTGTGTGTGTGTGTAGTAAAAAAAAATAAAAAATTTTATATTGGAAAATTGCTTTGATTTGGGCGTTACGCGTCAATGCTGGCGATGGCAGCACAGTGATAATGTTTTTTTTTCGCAATTTAAAATTTTCAACGATATTAAATGACATTTTAATTTTTGGCATTTCGTTAAACGCCACCATAAAGCAGGCTATAAAATGTGGGCGTTACGGCATTTTCCTGTCATACCAGCTGAACAGGTTTAATCTACCATATAGCTCATAGATCCTTCGTCTATATTAAAATGGCGCCAATAATGAACATTTTTTGGTTGAATTTCGTTTTTGTGCTGTACTGCGGTTGCGCCTCGGCAGAGGTATGTTTATTTAAAACAAAAATTGGTTAACTATATTATAAATTATACTTCCACAGAAAGTTATGCGCCCCAGTTTTAAGGAATGCAAAGTTTGGAGCGATGAGAAGTATGTGTCGCATAAACTGGCCTTTGACGCGAAGGATCCACATCTAAACTTTACGCTACATGTGTTGAAGGTAATTTACTGTTTGTATACCACAATTAAGGCTACCAATTAGGTATGTTTAAGGTATTTTAATGCTAGTTTTTAAGAAATTTCGGAGGCTGTGCTCTTGTACCATATGTATATTATATCATCATATCTCTATTTGAAGTCTGGATTTTTAACAATCTCCATCTGTAACTTTATAACTTTCACCATTTCAGCTATGTTTCTAACTCTATCTCGGTTCTTAGCTGTATCTCTAACTCTAGCTCTATCTCTCTTCCTCTTCTTAGCTGTAACTCTTTGTCTATCTCTGTTTCCAATCTCTATCAAGCTGTAATTTGAGTTTAAATTTTCTTTCTCCTTAGGATCTCAATGACGTCGATCTTCACACCCATATTCATATTGTACAGAAAAAGGATCCCACATATTTTTTCACCACAAACTCTACAATGAATTTATGTCGTATGCTTAGTTGGCGTAATGCCTCTCCGATTGGTTTACTTATACACACCTATATGAAGAAATATGGAACTTTGATTGAAAAGTGTCCGATAGTGAAGGTAAGTTAAAAAAATGTAATTTTTTAACAGCGCTCCTTAAAGAGGTGAATCGAACGGAAATCTATATTAGGGAGTAGTCTGCTTTTTGGCGCTCGATATTTAGTGAAAGCTCGAAATTTATGTAAGCTTATCCTTTGATATGTGAGCTTCTAATAGTGATTCAAGTAATTCAAGTTGTCAGTGTAGAATAAATCACGTTATACAAAGTCCGTTAGTCGAAAAATTTGAGCTTTTAACTAAAGTTTGAGACTCTCTTTTCCTTACTTCTACACGTCATAAATAGCACAAATTTCTAAATCGAACAAAGTATAATGATTTTCTTCATTTCTGAATAAACCGGTTTTTACGTTAGTCCATCATTAGCTTTTTTGCGGAAAAATCTCCGCAGCTTTTATTTTTAGATTAGTGTTTCGATTTAAGTTTGGGCTAAATCAAAATAAATGAATTTGGGTTCTCAAAAAATAAATATATTTGCGCTGGACGCCATAGTGTAGGGTGCCTTCTTAAGTAATTTTTTTCGTATTTATCGAAGCGAAAATAATTAAAAGCCAAACTTTTAAATATATTTTCTATATTAAAAATTATTTCAAATAAAAAAGTATTATCTTAGACAGCGGTAGAACACTTGCGCTTTCGTTTTCTTCGCAAATATACCTAGTATATTTCAGGCTCACTATTCGCATACAGCAAATAAACGTTTACGTAAATTTCAGGGTGAATATTTCTTGCATAGATTCTGGTATCCGGAGGATGTCACCTTCGCCACATTGCCCGAAGTCGATTTCGAAATTAATTTCTACGCTTACCATGTGGACGCCAGCAAGAATCGTGAAATGATCATCAACGATCACATCACCGGCGAGGGCACCGTGCACGATGTGAACAATGTGAAGCCGGGCGTCTTGGCGCTATTGCCGAAAATGGGTTAAAGCGAAGTTGGATAAATGAAATAAACAAATATTTAGGCAATATACATACTTGTATGTATGTATACTTGGGTGAAGGCTAGGCTATAAAGAAGTAGCAGTTTTTTATGACTGCAAGTGGCAGATCATAAATTTGGAAGTGCTTGTATAATTGCTGTGGTAATTTGGTCTTTAGCATTAAATCGTTAAAAAAAAATTATGTGGAAACACCATAAAAATGCACACGAATTATAAAGAATAAAAATATTTTAATGGAATTTTGAATTGATTAAAATTGCAATTATTATTCAAGGGAAACCCGCGTGTTTATACAATATCTAATATATAATTGTATGTGTGCTTGTATATATGTATATACTCCTATGCATTGGCAATACTGTTTTTATTTTCCGCTTAAATGTTAACTGAATTTTAACGCGCAAGGTGTGGATTATGAAGTGTTTGCGAAACAGAAACCAGAAATTGCCAAAAAAAAAAAAAATTGTAATCTGCATAAAGTGGGCAAGCAACCCGGATCACTCTCTGTGCACGCTTAATTGCGACAAAAAAAAAATTCATCAATTCTGTTGTCAGTTCATATTGACAGTAGCGCGACAAATCCTTCAACGGCGCGTTACCATAAATCAAACGTTGGCACAAATGTTATAAGAAGTTGTAGAAAACACCAACAATATTAGCAAATTTGCTCATTGACATTTAAGGCATGAATAAAATCAACAACAATTCTTAAGAGGGGTTGCGAATATTAGAAATTCGCAAGCTGTCGATTTTGCGCTAAAGAAGCGCATATTAATTTCAGCAGCTGGCAGAGCTTGCAAAAAAGCGACACATATATATATATTTATTGCCAAAAATGTTCAAGAGAAATCACGGCATTTCTAGTAACAATAGAAAGCCAACCAAATTGGGAAAACCGACTTCAACTACTTTTTTACTAAACGTCAACAACAACAAAATAGTGAGTGCAAATAAAATTGCAAATTTGTTGCCAAATGACTTTGATTGATTCAATTGTCGTAAAGTGACAGTTCCGTATAGGTAGCCGGGTGAGCAAACTCGCTGACAGCGCGTCAATGACAGCAGTCACACTTCAAATGACAACGGATAATGCCTTATATGAGTGGAATATGATGGATATTAATAAAATTTATGCTTAGAAAATATTTAAAAAAAAAATTGCTAAATTTGTAATACCTCGATTTTGCTTGACACAAATAAAAAGACATTGCGACATTAATTTGCACAAAAAAAAAAACATCGCGTAACGCGAAACTACTCTACAAATTTTAAAAACAATTACCTTACCATCATAAGTATTCTTCTATTTTCATGCCACTTTTGTTAGCCACATATACATTACCCACTTTTATGACACACTGTGTTGTTAAAATTTTTTATGAACTATTTCGCATATGCATATTTGTATAAAGGCTGTCGAGTTTAAAAAAAAAAGTTTATGTTATAAAAATATACTATATTCTGGTTGAATTTATAATTTTTTATAAACTGATTTCGCATACAAAACCAAATGGTGCCACCTATGTGTTAGCATAAATGTATATAGATAAAACCGTATATATTAACTCATCTTGCCAAAAAACTTTACGACAAATTTTTTGAAATTTTTTATTCGTATTTTGATAAGTGGCAGGTTTTAAAGACGGCACCGATAAGTCTAGAAGTCAAAAAAACGCCTTGAATATTTTAAAAATCGCCATGCGTAATTCGAAAGTCATAAAATTGTTTATGACATTTGTAGTAAATTATAATGAGCTAGCGCATAGTGTCTTCCATCGCATTTGCTTTATAAGCAGCAAGATTGCAGTTGTTGTTCTCAGTAGTACCGACAGGAGAGCCTAGCCTACAACTAGCTGAATGTAGACTTATCTGTTTGGGACGCCTGTGATGCAGTTTTCTGCTACAGAAATCCCTAACAGATTTTCTTAACAGGTTTTTTTATCGACAAAAGGTCGGTTTCAACTTTGCAAGTAGGCTTTACTCCGACTTTTTCAGAATTTATTTTCGTTTGCTTCTGTCATTGATTTTTTGAGAATTTTGCATTTTGCAGCAACAAAAATCCCTTTTGCATTTTCTGACTGAATACCTTATCGATAGCTTAACGGTTTCTCGTTTGATATTTACCTGTTGGAGATATTCAGATCAAGGCAACTACCTAACTAAACTGGGTCTTCATGTCTCTTTTACTTTAAACAAGTCTTTTTTTTGAGTAGTAAAGCTCGGATTATTACTGCGCGACATTTTATCGATCTAGAATAGTATTTTTTTGATATAAGACGGCTAAATAGCATCTACTTATGTTTCAAAACACGAAAGAGAAGTTTATATTCGGGTTGCTAACGGCACTCTACGGTTTTCAGCGACTGAAAATGAGCGAAAATATACGTCTTCTCACAATGAGAACTTAAGAGGATCTTATCAGAAGAAGTTAGGCCGGTTTAAACATAGCGCCTTCTCCTTTACTTCTTGCATTTGCCAAGAGCTTTTTATTTATTTATTAATAGGTTCCAATTTTTAAAACAATACCGACTACTTCAGTTTCAGCGGATATTCTTTGGTTACTGAATTAACCTTGCCCAAGATTTTTTCAGCCTTCCGAAATTGAATTTGTTTCAGCACAGAGCAGTTACGAACTCCCTTAAAGTTAAAGGCTACAGAAGAGTTAAAGCTGTAAATGAAAGCGAATCCGGCGACCTCTTGTTTCCCCTAAAAAATTATTTAAACCTTTCGTCAGCGACTCACTCAAATTATGCTCTCAAATCAAAATTTGAGTAGTACTGAATAATTTACTGTACTTACGAGTAGACACTCTCACACAAAGGCGTAATGTAAATTTTATAATTTATTGTGTTAAAACATGATTGCTTTTACCTCTGAACATGAACAGGGGTAATACAATTGGGTATGAATAACATAATCAGGTTGTCGCAGAAAAGGATTCAAATTCATTTTAGACAAACATGTGTGCCACAAGCGCCACAGTGCAGCAACATTTGCGAATATACAGTTGGGGAGCAGAGAAAATATTTTAATCCCTAATTGAAAATAAACACAACATGCGACAAAATTCAAAGAAAACATGAAAATGAAAACAAGCAGCAGCAATGTTGTTGTAGTAGTAGTACTGGTAGTGGAAGTGGAACTTGCGTAGTCGAGGCGACAATGACAGGCAAAGCAAATCGCAAATGCAGTTGAGCAACATGAAATTACTACACGAAAATGCATTGTAAGGGCATGTAGAAGAGAGAAAGTGAGTGGCAAAGAGAGCGTGGGGAAGGAACAGTTTAGTTGTAATGATATACTTGTTGGATTTTGAGCTCGTGCTAAATAAGTGAGTAAATGAGGCGCAAGTGAGAGCGTGAGTTGGATTAGCGGTAGTAGAGGTGAGTGTGTGCTAGGTGCTTTATAACGGGAAATGCATAACAGTTTAACAAATATCAATGACAGGCAGTGTTTGCTTTGAGCGAGTTCGAATATTGGAATGAGCGCGAAGCAGGGATTTGAGCAAAAACACTGTAAATTGAGTTGTAAGTGAAAAATTTCGTGATACAAGGATAAAGCTTGCCTCTTTCGTTCCATTTCGTTACCAACGGCCACACAACATGTAAGCGGTGCAATGCTTTGTTGTATTTTAAATTATAATCAAGATATATCAGTGTAGCAAAAGCAATTCGTCTGCCTTAATAAACTAATTTAATTCACTGAGCAGCGTATCCTTGCTTTAGACAAAGCTGAAAGCGACAATAATGTCGTGTTGGGTTAACGGTTAGTATGTCGCATTGTGCTAAGCAATAACGCAAATTCTTGCTTACGATCCGACTATCCGCACCGTGATTTATGCGCCACAGATAGGCAGACCGATAGCCTATGGAGCGTTTGGTGAATTTATTTTGCTACAACAAGCGCCGAGGCTATTAAATGTCCTTTTCCATGTTTTTTTTCGCAGTTGTTGTTATATTTTTATTTTATTCTATTTATTTAGCATGACAAAACAAGTAAACATGTGCAAATCTGCAGCGTTTACTAACACTTTCGAGTATTGGCCCTAAGGACATGTTATCCTTGTGGCAATTCAAGTTTAAAAAGTAACAACAAAAGTAAAATAAATGTTAGTAAAATGTTGCTGGAAATAGAAAATACAAAAATTGATGGAGGTAGAGAACCAGCGCTACAAATCCCTCGAAAGCTTGGCCCAAACGCGGAAGTCAACAACCAAACACACTTGTCTTGCATTTCCGGTGCTGGCGGGTGCCAAGCGTGAGTTGTCTGTCCCACAAGTTTTGCTTGGTTAAGTGTTGGTGAGGTGGAGCACGTTGGTCAGGCGAAATTCAAACAATTTGCATATGCTTTTTGGTGGCGCCGCAAAGAGGGGCATAATAAAAGCGCTTAGAATGAGAAAACTAACAGCAAGAAAAATAGCAAATAAAGTGGTGATGGGAGAAGTGGCTGGGTGAGGACGGCGAGTGGCTGGGAAAAATGTCAACAACAGCAGCAAACAGCATTCGCATGCATATAACTGTGTATGTGTGTGCGTGTGCAGAGTTCTCAGTGACAATGCCAACAAGCGCAGAACAACACTTCAAACTGAATGGGCAGCTGAAACCAAATCCAATGTCAGCTTAAGAATTTGTCCAAGTTATTCGATGTGTATTTAACACGTGACAAACACACACACACACAGGCTAAATGTCAGTGGCTAGAATAGACTTGAACTGATAGAGCTGTATTAAGCCAAGAACAATGGCAAAGGCGCGCGGGCATGGCATCTTGTTGGAATGCCTGGTCACACGCATTGAATTGTGAATGGATGTATGTGTGTACGTGGCCTTTGTTTAGCATGCGTGCGGGCATTCGCCTAAAAGTACGCAATGGTTGATGTCTAAGTTGACATATCTGAAAGCAGACACTAAGCTTGGCATACCGAAACTCGCCTGCGAACTTAAGGAAGTTCAACGTAGCAGACGCAAATCAAGAAAAAAATACGTTAGGTTTGGTTGTAACATAGCTATAATACCCTTCAAGTGTGCATTTATTAAAGATCTATATCTTGATTTTGATAGGTCAGTTTGTATGGCAGCTTTATGCTATAGTGATTCGATCTGAGCAATATCTTTGTATAATATAGCGATGGCTTGGAAAATAATCTGTAACAAATTTCGTGAAGATATCTTTTCAAATAAAAAAGTTTTCCATAAAGAGACATGATTTTGATACATCAGTTTGTATGACAGCTATATGCTATAGTGATTCGATATC